ACCACAGGACTTTGAAACATTCTTCAAGTAGGGCAATTTGACACATTGTGCAGTTTTTACTAAAATATATGCAGAGGGGAATTTAACTTTGCTGCTCTTTGGATTAGCTAGCTACTAGTTGTATATCTCCCCCCACCCCTTGTGTATTTCAGCAGTCCAAAGTAATTAAAATATGACATCTTCCTTGCAAGGAATTTAGCCTAATTAAGGTGGCTGCTGCTCCCGAAGTTCATAAACAACCAGTTCAGGCTGCTGCCTCCAATGTTTTCCTTGCTAAGGGAAGGCAATATTTCTTAGCATTGACCCTGCTGCCACCTTTGCGAGTCACTTTGTTGGTCTAAGAAGTTGCTGTTTTGCTAGAAAACTACTGGCAATGAACACCCCTTGGGCTGAGCCATCCATTATTTCCATATCTTACAATTCAGCCAGGAACCTGGACATCAGTTAAAGAAAAGGAAATATAAGTGGGGTAGCCCGGTTTTTAAAAAAAATATTGACTGTTTTGTTATCTGATGCTGACACGGTGCCGAGGCACGCATCTGGTCAACAGTAGCCTGGCTGCAGGCTTGAGAAATGACCAGGAGTCCCAGAAAATCCCACCTTCGGGTGGTTGTACTGGGAGCCTGCAGGATGCTTCGCTGCCCTGACAGTGATTTAGATAAATGGCTCAGCTATCTATCAAAATGTTTTTAGTACTTTATTTGACAATTCATTGGAGCATTAGCCTGAAAATGACATTTTAAATCTTTGTTTTCAAAGAGGTCAAAGTTTAACTGGAAGAAATTGAGTTTTCCTAATAACATGGTGGCTTATCTAAAGAGAGAGAAGAAAAAAGGAGAGGGGAGACAATGACAGGATTTAAACTGCGCTCTCTGAAACTTTTTCTTAAGACTACAGACTTGTTTCTTGGGCCAGGAGATCAACAGGTTTGTAGCTGAAAAATCAATAACCATTTGATGCCAACAGTCTGGCTATCTGACTTAACATTTCGTAGAGCAGTAAGCAGGGTAAAAAGAATGTGGTTTTCAGAAGGCGCCTTAATCTTCAGCTGCTCTCCAAATGCCTTTTCTTTCTTGCTGCCTGTTTTCCCTCTGGAGAACTCAAAGAATTTTCCAATCCACTAACATCTTTTAGACCTGTTCTCTCTATAGCAATTAAAAAAATATGAACGATTTCTGTTGGAATCCCAGGGAACTGGGGAGTCTCTGAAACTTTTTCTTGTTAGAGAAAGTTGTAATGAAACATACTTTTTAACAGAGAGGGGGAAAAAATTGCTCAGGATCCTCGCCAAGTTATTAGACTTAATAGAGCTTTTACATGTAGACATTCTTCCTTTTGTAATTAACCCTCCAAACATGCCTATTAAGTTGTAAGAATAGGGGGGAAAGCTTTGTTTGTTCTTGAACAAGTTAAACAAGGGATTTGCTTTATCTAGGGAGAGCGAGTGGTGAATGTGTCATTCGCCTAAAACTAGCCGATAAGCAAGAAGTGTTGATAACAGCAAAGTTTAGCTAATCAAAGAAACTTGCATTAGACAAAGTAAATAAAGGGATTTGACAAAGGGATTTCAGAAATTCCAGTGTCTTATTTTTGTAAGCAGGGCAATTAGTTCTTATTGTGGTCAATTTCACAAGGGTTTGAATCCCACACCCCAACTTTAGGTTAAATGAATAAAATGTAAATATATCTTGTGCCCCTGAAGAGTTGCTTTATCCTCCCAAAACCACTTTATGACTGGTTAGTTTAGTTGTTTCAGCAATTAAGTTGCTTTTTATTTTTTTAAGCATAAGTAAAACTAAAACGTTTTTTTAAAAAAATATTCTAACAAATGTCTGTGCCACACAGTGTCTGGTTCAGGGTGGTATACCTAGTTAGGGCTTTTGAAATAAAAGCATATTAAGGCTACGTTTGTATAAGTAAGAACATAAAACCACAACCTTTTCCATTTTACTTAATGGCTGTTTTGACGAGAAGCAGATCTGTTTGTGCTTTTAACACAGAGGAAACAGTGGGCAAAGGGATAGAGAAAAAAATAGCACTAAATTCCAACCAAAACTATTTTCAGTTCTGAGATTCTACTTATTTTTTTTTTTATGGGGTGTGTGTGTATAGAGTAATTAGAGTAAAACCTTTGAGCGTGGAAAACACCCCCAGAAGCTTACTTTGAAAGGTGTTAGAATATTCCCTTTATTTTCTTTTTAATTTTAAAGACAGAAAAATGATATGCCAACCAGCTGCCGTTTGTAGTAGGGCCTGTGAATTGCTTGTTATACTCATTCAAAGTCAGGATTAAGGGGCTACTAAGGGAATGTGGCATAAATATTACGATTGAAGACTACCCCTGGAAGATACAGGAGTACGTTTCTAAGATGCCCCCTGTATTGTCTTGGTTTTAGACTGCTCCAGCTGTTTTCAGCATTAATTGCTCAGTGGCCATAGGATAAATCTTAATATTTTGTGGTCTAAATATAGTTGCTTTTGGTGAAATCATGAGTGTGACAACTTCTTGGCCCCTTTCCCTGCCTTCTCCCTACTCAACACATCAAAAGGAAAAAGAAAAAATATACTTTCTTTTTGAAATAAGGTTTTGCCTATCAATGAGAAGAAATTATTTTTAAAACAAACGGTAGCGATGTGTGATTAAGTAATGAGAAAAGTCCCCTTTTTAAAACCCTGGGACCCAAATTTTGAGTATTAAACAGTATCTAAATCCTCTCCTAGTGAGATATAAATTGGGGTCAAAGTGGCAAAATCAAAGATACCCTCTGAAAGAAAGACTAAATAAAGACTGACAGCCACCGTATGAATTGAATGGGGTTTTGAATAAATATTTCAGTGAAAAGGCCCAATTGTTTTTCTAAAGTAGGACATAATTTTCTGCTTCTCAGCCACATGACGGTGGTAACTAATACCACCAGAAAGCAGAGAAGGAGGAGAGGGACTTTTGCTTAAATCTCTAAGAGTGCAGGACAGGGTTGTTTGAAAACAAGCGGAAGATTCACAAAGTTTTCCTTACTTGTAGGGAAAAAAATATTAAAATATTGTCAAGATCCAGATAAATTGGTACGTTTGACAGGGGAGTTTAAAGCATGAGTTTAAATTTTATTGCCAGAAAAGAGTGGATTCCAAAAAACAAAACAGTAGGAGAGGTAGACATCTGTTTGCTTAAACTTAAGCTACGGAATTGATTTGGAAGCTCTTGTTAGAATTTGACTTGCCAGCTCTAATATAAAGCCTTTGCGTTGAATCGAGCCTTTTTTTCCTTAATAGATAAATGACCAGAATGGCAATTTCTGATAGCTAGCTGACCTGAATCAGAAGTTTCCTTTTCATTTCTAGAAACCTAGTTCTGACCATATACAACCAGTCGGTATTGTCATGGACTTTTCTTTGAAGCATAAGAATGAAAGAAAGTTCTTCTGGATATCAGACACTTATAATATGCCTTAAACACATGTGTTAAGCTGAAAAAGAAAACCTTACTGTTTTCTCTTTTACACATTCCACAGATGTCATTAAACTCTATCCGTGAGGGGAAATACATGATTAATAACACAGATTATAAATTCTGTTCTCAAGGAATTTGTAATTTTTAAATCAATTTTTTAAATTAGAAACTTTTACTCTCTGAGAGGAATATGGAGTTATAAAACCAAGATACAAAATACAAAACTCTTCAAGTTGTACAGGACTTTAACAATAAACACAGTGTTCCTTTTAGAACAACTGAGAAAAAAATCTTCTATAGAGTAGGAGTTACACGTAAGTTTCAATAAATTTATCCTTAAATGGCATTTTTATACGTTAAATGTTCTAATATAAATTCAGTTAACTATCAATTAAATAGATTATTTCAGAAATGGGAGTTTTTGATGAAGGTTAATCAGAAAAATCTTGGCTGGAAACCTTTCCTAAGATACTAATGTAGAATCTTGCCTTTCAAATTACAGGGTAGTAGTTATGGCAATCATATATCTCTTGATTTTCTAGAATAACCCACTTTCAGATATACTGCCACAGTTCCCACATAAATCATTGAAATATGCCAGATATTTAATATTACGACATCTCCTAGGCTGCCCCTTGAACCCAGGAGTGGCACAGAAACTCTTTGTTTGGATTCTATAGTCAGTATAACTAGAGCACTCACAGCTTAATTTTTCCATTATGACTGAAGATCGCCTTGTGTTTCTGGGTCATTCTTCTGAAAATGAATTCCTTTTGTAGCAAACTATAGATCTGTAAACAGAAGGCATCCCCTGCAAAATGGTTTGGACTGTGGTTCTCGCTCTAGCACCTCTGTGTGTGTGTGTATGTGTATTGGGGATGGGGAAGAGAAATAGAATTAAATTGAATTGTTATGAACAAATCTGTATCAGCACTTTAGCCAGCTGCTTGTTAAAAAGTTGCAGTTGGGGGTGATGGAGGGAGGAGGGCAGAACTAACTCAGGTTTCAGATTTATCAGTATCCTGCCTGTAAGTGGCTTGGTCTAAGTACCTCTTGTTAAATGGGAGATGAGATAACCTGCCCCATCTGTAAGATCTAATGACGCGACCTCATCAGTCAATGTGTTGCCCTGAATTCTCCTCTCTTCATTCTCAGCTTCCTTACTTTATCATTAAGAACCATGGTTCTTATCCCATCCCACCCACAAATCTCTTTTCTTTTCTTTTTCTTTTTTTTTTTTTTTTTGAGACAGAGTCTCACTTTGTTGCCCAGGCTAGGGTGAGTGCTGTGGCATCAGCCTAGCTCACAGCAACCTCAAACTCCTGGGCTCAAGCGATTCTTCTGCCTCAGCCTCCCGAGTAGTTGGGACTACAGGCATGCGCCACCATGCCTGGCTGATTTTTTTCTATATATACTAGTTGGCCAATTAATTTCTTTGCATTTATAGTAGAGACGGGGTCTCGCTCTTGCTCAGGCTGGTTTCGAACACCTGACCTCGAGCCATCCCCCTGCCTCGGCCTCCCAGAGTGCTAGGATTACAGGCGTGAGCCACCACGCCAGGCCACACAAATCTCTTTAAATGAATGAAAAAGAAAGTTGTAAAAGTTCTCTCTACTTAGGAAGCAGTGGAAGGTGAGTCTGCAGGCATTTTATTATTTTTCTTAAGCTTTCAGAGCTTTTTAGATGGGCATTCAAACAGGCAGTGGAACTGCTGACTTGCTTTTTCTCTGGCCTTGCAGGGTGGGGAGCCGAAAGGGGGTCACTCAGCAAGATAAGACTCTCGGCCCCCTGCACGATAAGGCAAGGATAACAGGAACTGACGTCAGCCAGGCGACCCAACCTGGCCAAGCATTTCCTCTAGTCGGGGAACAGGGATCCCAGCAGTCTCCAGGCCTCCCACAGCAGCCCATGCGGCAAACTAGCTCAGAGCAGGGAGAAAGAAGAAAACCACTTATCATTTTTTTACAGGAGTGAGAGTGGGTGATAACGTTCACGATTTCCAAAAGCAGATTTCTCTAAAGAGAACACTTTCTTCTTCTTGGGGGTGAAGAAAGTGATTTTTTAATAAAAGCGGATGCTGAGACTGTTCGTAATTTTACATTGTCACAGAGTAGATATTTGTTTCACAGCTGTCAACGATTTCCCTGCTGATGCCTCTCATAAGACAGTTTATCTCGCGATCACCAAATATCACCCACCCACAGATCTTGCCAACTCTCCATATAGAACAAAATGTGAGGGAATTCACATTGTCAGAGTTAATCCCTGGTGCTCCTGTTTACTTTTGTTGTGGGTGGGGGAGGGAACGTTGTACTCATCAGATGACAACGTCCGCTGAAGCCATTTCGTTTGCCACCAGCCCTGAAACTACCTAGCTGTTTTCCTCTCCTCTTTCTGTCTTCCTTTTCTGTTGAACCCAGACTTTTTTTGCCTTCCGGAGTATCTCTGACTTGAGGTTTAGAGAAGGAGCAACCCAAATGAAGGGGCCTTATTTTATTTTTTAAAATTCACAGGTTCTCCTCTGTCTACTTTTGTCATAAAGAAAGATGGCTCCTTATTTTTCATGTTTTAGTACTGAACAAGGAGTTACTCTCCTAATTTGACCAGTATTTAGTGGAATATTAGTTTTTTTGTTGTTATGCTCAATTACTGTTCATCACAGATTAAAATTTTACCAAATCAGAAAAAAAAAAAAGCTAAATTCAAAATAACTGTGCAGGTAAGAACAAATAAAATGAATACATCAATTAACTGGGAACAGAAGATTTGGATCACATTTATCCTAATTTTTTTCCAATTTCTGGAGCAAATGAAGACCCGTATATTAGATCTATCTTCTCAAAAATATTAAAGCTTTCAGTGGCTACAGTACCTTTGTCATGTCATCAAAGTCCATAATTATAAAAGGGCTGATGATCTGAAGGCTGTTTCAGCTTCAAAAGATTTTTTAGGGTCTGGTCTATTGGAAAGCTTGGGGGTATAATTAACTAAAATGGAAATGGAGGCAGCGAAATTTAGTTCCTGATGTTTTAATTTAGCTCAGTACTGCCGTGTGTTATTGAAGAGAATTCTTAAAGGCAAACATAATTATTTCATTATGGTCCTCAGAATGCTTTCATTGGCTTTAATGACAAGAAGATGTATAAAAAGGCATACATTTTAATTAGTCCTTATATTTACATCAGATAAATAACAAATAATTGATGAAAAACAAGTCTTTGGAATGGATGATTTCACATAGCGCGCTGGTTACAGTTTAATGATGAAACATTTCTCCGTTGCTTTGCATTTTAATTATCTTTACATTACATTACAGTAGCGGTGCCATGGAGCTAAAATATCGTCATTGCCATTTTATTACAAAAAAAATCACGATTAATGCCTACAAATTGAAGGCTCAAAAAGGTAGCTAGACACATCTCCGAGGAAGTAAATTGCCAGTTCCATTAATTTTACTACGTTTGTTAGAACTCATTTTGATCACTTTTATCTTTTATGCTTCATCTTTTTGGGTTAAGACCGTCAAGGGTTTCACGTGCGTTTTTATGACCACATCTTCTGAACACCTTCCTTTCTCTCTTGCTGCCTGTTTTGAAGACTTAGGTGAAGGTGCTTTGCCAAATGTGTGCTGGAAATTCAGAGAGCCTTTTTCCATGTTATGGGCCGGTTTTTACCTTTGATTTTATTTTATGAAAACCCATTTCACATGATTCATCCGTTTTGGTGTACAGAACACTAATTGTTATTATTGATTTTAAATTCCGTGACCATTACAAGTAACCCAGATGACTGGCAGATAAAGGGTAATAATCCATGGAGTTCTGGAACTGTTTCATGTTTGTCTGGAGTACTTTATGTGATCAATATTAACTGCCCCATTGAAACTAACTGCTGTATCAAATAACAGTCAATCAAATGAATGTGCTTAGAGATTATTTATTGAAAGCTTTAATTGTTCACTAGGGCCCTGCTTATCAGAGGAAACAATAGGAACTAGAGATAGGATGAACAGGTTTGGATTTGCGGGGAAAGTTGGAGGATGCAGATGAACAAGGCATCTCTCTGCTACTCAGGCAAGAGTTCCCAGAGACTCATGTTGGGCTTATAGTGGGTTTACAAATACTCTTGCAGAGATTATATTCTGTCCCTGGAATGCCGTCTAGAGAAGAAGGTATAATAATGGTTTTTTTGCCCTCAGCAGAGGCTGTGAAAAGTTGTTTCTTTGTTAAGAGTTTTCTTGCTGCTTCTCGCCACTCCTCACTCTCCTCTGCATCTCTCTACCTCTGCTCCCCCGTTATTGCCTGATGGTCTGAGAGAATGGAATAACCTGGCTTGACACAGGATGGATTGTTATAGCTATGAAATGGGAACAATAGCATCTACATTGCAGGATTTGAGGAAGGATTAGAGATCCCTTAAATTAAGATTCTATTTGCGTCTTGAAAACATGCGGAAGTCACAGAGTGGGCCTGCCTGCTCTGATTTTGGCAAGACACTTGTGGCTTATGTGTCTTTGCTGAGAGTGAACAGTATTTTTTTTTTTTTTTGTAGTCATATCTAAATTAGTAACCTCTTTTCCTCAGTGAAGTGGTTCCTCTGTCTATAGCTCATAACCTAGGTGACAGTCCTTTCTGTTAGTCAGGTGGCACTGTGGCCTGATCCAGAGGCATCATTTACCAAACCCTCAGATTCCAGACAAATGATTGACTTTTACAAGGGGCCGTTGTCACCTTCAAGGTTGTCACAACACACTTAGCCCAGAGATGCTGTTGTGGCACAGTACATTTTTATTGCTCGCTGATGGATTAGATCTTGCAGTGTGCCATTCAACAAATGGCTCTTGGGCGTCTGCCATGTGCCAGCCTCTTTGATATGATCTGTGGAGGGCACCGAGATGAATCAGACTCTGTCCCTGCTCTGTTTGGACTTACAATGTAAAGGGAAGAGCTTGTGTACACAAGTTATTGTGACACAGCCCCTTTATTGACACCAGCGCAAAAGTCTCCTCAGGACTTTGAACCTGAGATTGATGAAGGAAAGAACTGAATACCACCGAGAACCACAGATGGCCCGTAGGCAGGTGATCAAGTGACTTATACATTTTTGTCACAATGGAGCAGGCATAAAGTGCTTCTCTGTGTAGGCCTCATAAGATAATCTCTAAAAGTAGCTCACAGAGAGGAGTTTTTTAGACCTATCTTGAGCGATGGAATATGTGCGTACCTTCCAAACTTGCTTCTTGAAGACTCTCACATGGATATTTCTGGAGTAAGTTAAGTAATTTATACTCTTTTGGGGTTGGGTTTGATTAACATTGAATTTTTTTTTAAATCATTTATTTATTTGTTTATGATTGTTTCTGTAATTTATTGTCGTGTAACAAGCCATCCCCCAAACTTAGTGGCCTAACAATTTATTATCTCATTCTGTGGAATGACTGGGCTCAGCTGGGCAGATCTTCTGCTCTGCAAGGTGTCCGCTGGGGCTGCATCATCCAGAGCTAAATTGGGCTGGAAGTCCAAAAGGGCTCACTCACACGGCTGGCAGTTGATGTCGGTTGTCGGCAGAGGGCTCAGCTGGGGCTGTCAACTGGAGCACTGAATCTGCATGTGGCTTGGGCTTCTCACAGCGTGGCAGCAATATTCCGAGAGGGAGCGGCCCAGGCATGAGCCTTCCAAGAAGGAGGCTGCAGAAGCTCCTTGTTCCCTTAAAAGCCAGATCCAGAGCTGGCGTGGAGTCGCTTTCACTGTGCTCTACTGGTCATGCAGTCACAGAACCAGCCCGCATTCAACGAATCTACCTTTCAGTGGAGGGGTAGCAAAGAACGTCCTGCCGTCTTCAGTCCACCATGACAGTCATAGCACCTGTGCCCTATAACGAGAAAGAAAACATCATCTTCTGAAAATGACTTAGTTGTAGAATGATTGTGAGGTTTTTTAGTGAGTTTGGGTTTTGACTGGTTAAATATTTAACAAAATTCTTCTCTAATGACTGTACATACATTTGCAGTTAATCCTCACAACCCTAAGCGGAAGATACTATCCTCAGTTTAAGGACGAAGAAATGGAGGCTCAGCGAAGCTGAGTAGCAAGCGTGTCTGCAGTCACGCAGGTAGTAAGGTGGAGAGCTGGGTTGCATGTCCCAGGCAGGGCTTTTCTCTTGCTCCATCTGCTGTTCTTCACTTGGGGGTCCTCACTTCAGCAACTTGACTCTGCCGTTCCTGCCAGGGGAATGAATCATTCCTGAAAAAAAATATTGAACGCCCTAATAATACCAAGAGAGGACCGTAGAGTGTTTTGGTGTGAGGGGAAAGGTAGAAAAGAGAGAGGTAAAAAACTATAAGTCGCATAATTTCCTCTGATTACATTATTTTCTCTAATATAAACCACAGTCTTTTAAATTGTAGAGGAAACTCTGCCCAAACTATGAGGCTGTTTTACTCTTTTGCCCTTTTGTTTTTACATCCTGTTTGCTGTCGAAGTCTATCCGGGCCTCATAAGTGCTGTGGCTCGTGGGGGTGAGGAGCAGGATTAGTCTGGTGTTTACTGAGGAGTTGCAAGAAGATGGGAGATGGGACATGTGGCTTTTCATGTGATTCTAGTTTACTCCTAACCCTCATCTAAAGATAGGTACTGATTGCTCATGCTAGATGGTGCCTCTTAGTTAAGCAGCGCTGTTTCGTCTTCCATTACCAAATAGAAATAAAAAAAGAAGAGGAGGAAGAAAGAAAACTTTCTGAGAGATAGTGAAGTTGACATTTGCCACCTATTTTAAGTATCCGTTGTGTTTAGAGGATCCCAAACCTAAGTTAACAATTAGTCTTTGGTGAAATTTACACAAATCATAATGATTATTAGCCTCTTAGATAATGCTCTTATTTCGGTGACTTCAAATATACTTTAAATGCAATATGTTATTCTGTATTTTGGATTTGTGTATACTATGTTCTACCTGTGTTCTACCTGTTTCTTTTGTTTGAAATCTTACTGTTGTTGAATTATACGTTTTGAGGAAATAGAGACACACGAGGAAATTGAAGTGACTTGCTGGAGGTCATACAGTGGGTTCTAAATGGAAGCAGATCTAAATCTATAAGATTCTGACATGTGATACCGTGAAGTGCAGCGCAGTATTGTATGACACAGGGGAGTTGGGCAGACACCCTTCATGCGCTGCCCTTGCTGTGCGAGCTTGAGCTCCAAGTTGCCTCGGTTTTTTTCATCTGTAAAATGGATCCATAATGCTTACCTTGCAAGCTTAAGATCAGAGTCTTCATCAAAGACTTAAATAAGAGCGTGTACTTGGCACATAATGCTCAGTGAATAGATTCTTTTCCCCCAAGTGTTATTATGAAAACATTTTTTAAATGCAAAGAAGTTGAAAATTTTTACAGTAAACATAGATACTCACCACTGTATCTATCATTAAAATGACCAGGGTTTTTCCCTGTATTTCCACCCTTTTTTTACCTTTTGTGTGTGTATGCATGTTTTGTTTTGTTTTGTGTTGCATTGTTTTTGTTTTGTTGACTGGGTTCCCTCTCTAAACTGGGGAAGTCTTTGAGGTGTCAGGTATTGTGTATTTTCCCAGTGCTTGTGTAGTACTTAGTCTGTGATCAGCGCTCAGTGAACTATGGTCGAATCCACAGATGTGTTCAAGTAAACGACCCGTTCATGTACTCGCTATCAGTGCTCTCCAACAAAACTGTCTACGGTGATGGAAATGATCTATAATTCTATGTTGTCCAATACGGGAGTCACTAGCCATGTGTGGCTACTGAGCTCTTGAGATGCAGCTAATACATCTGAGAAAGTGAATTTTTTATTTTATTTCATTTTAATTTAATTTTCCATGGCTACATGTGGCTAGTGGCTATTGTATTGGACAATGCAGCTCTATTTACTTCAGCCATTTTTTTTTCAATATTTGTTCCATTCTCTTTGTTTATTTCCCTCTTTAGCCTTTTCTCTCCTGTTGCTATTAACAAGCTCTAATTATCTCTTTATGTAGCTGGTAAACAGACTGCTGGAGGATGTAAACAGAATACTGTAGGGTGGTGATTTCATTCATTGTTTAACTCCTTTTCCTTCTGGGTGGAACTATTTTTCCTGGGGCCTGGCAAATATTTAGCACTTATTTTGCTAACATTTATTTTTGCAGGGTTAAACCAAGATTTTTACAGAATCCCAGTTGGCTGGACTTAAATTATATTCCTTGTAGCAATCTTATCATGGTGCTGTATCCTGTGTTCCACACCTGCTTGGTTTTCAAATGGAAACCTGCTTGGTTTTCACAGCATTATCTTCCAACATTTGCAAGCTTTCAGCTCAGCTTGGAACATCTCAGTAAACTTCAGGGGGGCAGAGAGGAACAGGCCTTACTCTGTGGAAGCCTCAGGGTGCCTTCTAGAAAATGTCGCATGCTCTCTTGCATGAGCTCCTTCTCTTACTCATATATGTGTGCTGTGCTTCATAGCCTAGTCCTTCCACACAGTAGGTGCTCATTAAATATACTGAGTGTAGTTCAGTGACAATGAATTTGAAATTCGGAACATCTCAGGTAGTCTCTGCTTTACTTGCTTGTATATTTTGGAGTCACCTCAAAAAACACTCTAAGCAAACTTGAGGGGTCGTCAAGAACTTTGGAAGTTCAAGTTGGCCCTTGCGGCAAGGCAAGCCCATATAAATGGGTTTGCTGTAAAACTGTTCTGAAAATACGAGAATGAAATATTTCTTTGGCTTCTGGCACTTACTTTGGTGTTATGGGAATACATTTTCTTATGGCACTTACTGTTAACCAGGACATTATTACCACTCCGTTCTACCTTTCTTTTTCTTTTTCTTCTTTTTCCCTTTCCATCCTAGAAATGGTGTGAATAAAGGAAAGTAAATAAAAGTAAAGCTAAAACAACAATCAAGAGAAACTTTTGAACCAAAGTTTGCTCCCCACGCCCAATGATTTCAAGTTGTGATTGATTTTTATTAACATGAAACAATCACTATTCTCATAAATAATGTTTATTAAGTGTTTACTATGTGCAAAGTTCTAGAAACAAACTGTTACCTGATCCTCACAACAGCCTGAGGAGAAGGGCACTGCTGGTCCCCTACCCCCATCTTACAGATGTGGACTTCTAGGCACCAAGGTGTTCCAAAAGCGACCTCAAACCTTCTGAGTAGGAGAAAGTACGTTGGAAGTTCCAGGCTCAACTTCGTAGAATGCAGGGTTTCTTTTCTTTGCCAACACTATGAATTCCCATTTTCTTGGTGGAGAGAAGGGGGACAGGGAAGGTTGGAAGCCTCAGAACCCACAGAATAATAAAAAGGTTTCCAAGTGAAAGCTGGAAACAATACATTTTTAACAAAATGGGCAGTTACTCTAATTGCTGTGCCCCTACTGTTCAATTCCTTTTTATGTCCTCATTCATTAAGTTATGTGCACACACAGGCTTATTATTTACAGATGTATGCACTTTTAACTGGCTCATATGGAACAGATGTTTCACAAAAGGTAACAGAGAACAAGTGATCGAAGCCCTCCTTTAGTGGGTATCAAGTGGGTATTATGGCCCATTACCTGTAAGTCTTTTGCTATTATTTTGAATTGCCATGTCCAGTGTGGGGAGGAGGATTCAGTTTGTCTCCTGGAGGAACAAATAAAAATATAGCAGCCCCCTAAGCAAACATCTGCATCTCAAAATAAAAGAGGGTGTGTGCAGGCAATGGACAGGTGGTGTTCACATGTGGGCTCAGGTGGATGTGTGAGTATTATAAGCAATTTGAGGAGAAGAGACTCATCGCAATAGCAGAAGTGTGGTTCATTGAGCAGACCATCTTCGGAAACCAGTACTGTCATACCCACTAGCTGCAGAAAGAAATGCATACCTCTTTTTCAAAACTAGGTGACATGGCCTAATAAAAATAAACACGACCCATTCACCACATTGACGCACGCTTGGTGGCATAGATCAGTAGAGAGTTATTTCAGTACTTCTTCAGAATATTGGGGAACAATAATAATTGCCCCTCAAAGTCCACAGTGAGATTTATGGTTTATGAATTGTCAGGAGTTCCCTAAACAAAGAAAATTGGAGCAAAAAGATGGCTGAAATTGTGCCATTTTTGCACATTGAAAGCTGGAAACAGTCACAACTGAAATATAAAATGGGACATGAAATATTAAGTGACATATCAGGTTTATTGCATATATGACCATGAGAGTGCATTTTATTTTGTCTTATGGAGCTCTAAAAAAATCCATGTAATGGA